AGGATTTAAGTGATTCCAAGTAGTAACAGACAGAACAAAGTAAGTCACCAAGCAAAATAAAATAAAATGCACATATCTATGTCTAATCAAACTGAATACAGATAAGATCCTCACCAGTTCCAGAATGCTCCCTTTTATAGACTAATCTCTTTTTAGCCTGGGTCCAGCAATCACTCGCACCCCCTGTAGTTATTGTCCTTTGTTCCAGTTTCTTTCAACTATCCTGGAGGGTGGAGAGGCACTCTCTTTAGCCAGCTGAAGACAAAATGGAGGGGTCTTCCACGGGTTTAAATAGACTTTCTCTTGTGGGTGGAGACCCCCTGCCTCACTCCTATGCAAAGTCCAGCTCCAAGGGGGGAAGGGATAGCTCAGTGGTTTGAGCATTGGCCTGCTAAACCCAGGGTTGTGAGTTCAATCCTTAAGGGGGGCACTTAAGGATCTGGGGCAAAATCAGTACTTGGTCCTGCTAGTGAAGGCAGGGGACGGGGCAGGACTGGGCTGGACTTGACTCGACTCAATGACCTTTCAAGGTCCCTTCCAGTTCTAGGAGATCAGATATCTCCATTAATTAATTAAAAAATTTAAAATTAAAAAGAAGATGGAGTTCTGGAGTCACCTGGACAAGTTACATATCCATGCATGACTCAGCCTTTACAGGCAGAAGCCATTGTCCACATGGTATCTTGTAGGTCTCCAGGAAGACTTCTTATGTGGATTGGAGTATTCCAAGCTGCATTGTTCCCCAAGTATTTCCTGATCAGGTACTTAACCTGGCGAATTCCTTCCTAAAGAAGCTGACCAAATGCCTCACAAAGCTTACTTGGAAACCAAGCAAGTATACAGCCCATATTCTTACCCTCAAGTAGAAAATGATATATGTGTACAAATAGGATGAATAGATACAGTAGACCAGAACCTTTACAGAGATACATTACATGGCACAGGCAGTACAAAACATATTCCAGTTATGTCATATTCCCATAAAGCCTTATGGGAGGTACTGTCACAGGTGGTAATGGGTAAGGCCAGTGCTGTTCATACCAGGGCTGTGAATGATCAGCGGGATGAGGCTTAGGCTTCACAGCATTCCATGTAGGTCTCATGGGATGGGGATGAATGTTGAGAGGAGAAGCCATTGTCCTGCACCTCTCCTTCCTCGCCACTATGCATGCAGAGTGGTGCAGGAGATGAAGGATGGTACCGTGCTATGTAGCTTGGGGAGTGTTCGGTGCCGAGCAGTGGTGACTGCAGTGCCGAAGAAACTGCTATGTCAGCAGGACGCAGGTCCTGCCTTGGGGTTGCAGTCAACCGTTGGAGCGCTGACCGGTGTTGGATTCAGCTTGTTAGGCAGCAGCAAGTCTTGGGTCAGTGCCGGTGGTGGCAGCATTGATCATGGTGCCACTGCCTGTGCCGCGCTCTGCACCAGGGTAGTGGACTCCTGTGCATGCCCTTCCCCCGACCAAGTACTGTTGCGAGAAATCTCCGATCTCCAGCGCAGGGACACACCAACACCTAGAGTGGAGCACCCACAGGGACACCACTCGAAGAAGAACCTCCAGCTAAAATAGCACAAACCCCCAATCCCAGAGCTAAAGTGGTAATTCCCTTAACTTTCAGCACTGTAGGGTCTATGACACACAATTGTGCAGTTCCGATTTGAACTACTGAAAGGCATTCACACACCTGCCCACAAATACCCACATGCACCCTAGCAAGTTCATTACTTTATCAAAGAAGGCACCATCTCATGCTAGTTCCCTGAACTCTGCTATCTATAGGGCAGAGGTCCCCAAACCGTGGGTTGTGCCCCCTATGGGGGCACAGAGGAACCTTTGGAGGGACATGACAGCACCACCCAGCCCCTCCCCACCCCGAGCTCTGCTCCGCTCCCACCGGTAGCCACATCCAGGACCGGCTCTAGGCACCAGCAAAACAAGCTGGTGCTTGGGGCGGCACATTTTTAGGGGCGGCATGGCCGGCGCCAGAATGCCGCCCCTAAAAATGTGCCCCGGACGCCCTAGCTCACCTCCGCTGCTGCCTCTCACGCACCACGGTGCGTGAAAGAGCTGATTCGCACGCCGCTGCTCCCCCTCCCTCCCAGGTTTGAGAGCCTGGGAGGGAGGGGGAGACTCCGAGTGGCCGCGGCGCGCACGCCGCTTCTCCCCCTCCCTCCTAGGCTTGAGAGCCTGGGGGGAGGAGGAAGAGCTGGGGATTTGGGGAAGGGGCCGGGGGTGGGGTAAGAAAAAAACAGGGGGGGAGGGGGCGGCCAAAATTATTTCTGCTTGGGGCAGCAAAAATCTTAGAGACGGCCCTGGCCACATCTCTGACTTCCAGCCCCATGTCTGGCATCGTCCTGAGCTTCAGCATGGCTCCACTCCCAGCCCCAGCCCCTTGCGGCTCCATTCCCGGCCCAGGGCCGAGGCTGGAGGCAGGGGCGGGGCTGGGAGCAGAGCAGCACCTGGCCAAAGGCTCGGCTACTGGCCCTCACCGCAGCCCAGTTGCTGTGCTACTCCCATCCCCAGCCTTGGCCCCCTACCATGGCTCTGGCCCTACTCCTGGCCCCAGACCCAACCCAGCTGCGGCCCAAGCCTCAGCCCGCTTAACCCTGTCCGTGTCCTTTCCCCCCTGCCCCTGCCTTCCAATTATTCTTTCTGTAAGGGGTGAACCAGGCATAGTTATTACTCTAGAGCATTTTACACGATGAATCATAACCCAATCAGGTCTGGTGTGAACCCTACGTAACATCCTCCACCAAAACAGCACCTGTGTCAGGACTAAAGAAGTTCCCTCTCTTTCTCAGATAACTGTTTCTCAGTCCAGAAAGGCAACACAACTCAAATGCCCTGCAGGAGACGCACCTTTTAAGTGACCAGCTGGAGCCCTGGCCACAGAGCAAAGTAAAAGGATCTACACTCACCTGTCTATGGCGCAGGGTGAAGTTCACAGGTTTGGAGAGGTTCATGAACCTCCCATCTCCAACAGCCCCACTCACCACCCTGGAATTCAGGTGAAAATTCCTCAATTTCTCATCAGCCATTAGATCTCCCTCCTTGAGAAATCTCTTGTCAATGATGGAATCCAGGGTGGAGTAAGAAATAAAAGCAACAGCCCCAGAATCTGAAAACATGAAATGATGCTTCATCATAGAGCCAGGGACACTGAGACAAAGAAAGAGCAAGCCAGGTGCCAAAGGTCACAGTGAGTCTGGGGCAGAGCTGGGAAAAGAATCCAGGAGTCCTGGCTAGCAGTTTGAGCTTTAACCACTAGAATATATTGCCTCCTCCCTCTTCTTCCGCAAAAGTGCTTCTATGTTCCAAACATTTGGCATGCACTAGGGGAGTGTGATTCCTAAAGTGCACTAACGTATATTAGAGCACACTAGGAAACTTTAGTGCACACAAGTAGGGTCTATACAGACCAATTAATGCACAGTACGTTAGTGCTCTTTAGAAATCATACCCCCATATTGTACATTATCCAGCTAGCTAGACAGCCCTACGTGAAAGGCACTGATGTGAAGCCGTAGTTTTTCTTGGTTAGGAGAGGCAGAGGGGTTGCTTAGTGAGGAGCCTTCCTTGGTGATAAAGAATTAAGAACCAGTCCCAGTTAGGTCATACTGGCCTGAAAATTGTAGTAAAATTGGTAAATATTATCCTGGTTCCATTCCAGAAAGTCACGCACATCAACCTGGGGCCTAGCTGGGCTCATCATCAGGACATCATGTGTTGGGCCAACAGATCTCTGATCTTTCCATTCTCTGGACCAGTTCATATGCCTATCAAAGCTTTTCTCTCCTGCCTGTCCCCCCACTGCTCGGTTTTCATGCTGCGGAACAACCAGGAATGAAGGGCTCTGCAGACCTCAATGGCCTGAGAAACACTGTCTCAGCCAACAAGGTCCACACTAGTGTCAGGATAACAAAGGCAAGCAAGCCAGCCTGGGGCAAGAGGAAGGGGAGAACTAGGGCTGAGGTTTGGTGTCTAGTTAAAGGGAAGCACCAAGATGGTACCTTCTGTCGCTGCTCTGGTGACCGTATCACAGTGAATGTCCATTGTCTCCTCCTGAGCAATCAGCCTGAAGACCTCATCACAGGGACCTGCAGCCGGGACAACGAGGAGCGTCTCGATAGCTGGGAAGGGAAATGGCAAAGCCTCTTGCTGCAAGGGCAAGGCAGGTTCGGAGCTCCACTCTCTCGGAATCCCACCACCCCTTCCCCCTTTCTCCTCACCTCCATTTCTCTGTGTTTCCCTGAGCCCCTCTGGCTGACCTTCTATGATCTATCATCCGTGTGTCCCCATGAAGATGCCACTGTGCGAAGACGCAGAAGGCAACTTCTCCCTGCTGTCTCACCTCTGCACTTTAGCAGGGGAAGCAGCAGGAAGGGGTATTGCTGGGGGATGGAGTGAAAGGAGGATGCAATGGCAGCTGCCTGTGGCGACAGGAGATTGGCATTGCTTTTAAAACCCTCTCAGGAAGCTGCCATTGCTGCAAAGTCCCAGGGCTGCATTTATGGGTGGCGGGTAGCATAGGCCGGGGAAGGCTGTGCCTCTCCAAACAGCCTGCCTTGGACCCACCCAGGCTCTGTCCCCAGGTCCGCTCCTGCATGCTTCTAGTTCCCTTCCGGCTCTTCTGTGGCTGAGAGGCGGGGGCAGGCAGGCTGGGGATGGTGCTCACAAGGCCCAGGGCTGGGGGTGCTGGCCCAGGGCCATGCCGTGTCATGCTGCCTGCCCATCCGCCCAGCTCTGGATTTGGGGACGCTCCGGCTCCCCGGCATTCCAGGGCTGGGGGTGCTCCTGCTGCGCTGCCCACCTGGCGCTCCAGAGCTGGGGTAGCACAGGGATGGGGGTGGGTTGTTCTGGGCTCCAGCCGAAGAGAGGGAGTGGAACGGGAGGGGTGGGGCCTTGGGCAGAGAGGGAGGGGCCGGGGGCTCGTCTCTCTCAATGGTTAGCATCTCTCAATGGCTTGTTCACCTGCCGCCTATGGCTGGGTTATAAACCCTGAGAGAGGGGCAGCGAGGCTGCAGTGGTGTTCTGTATTGAAAAGAGTATAACCCCCTATCTCACAGACACCACCAGGTGGTGTGGGAGCCTCCCATCCTCCTCACCCATAGACTCTGTTGTCACGTTCTGGATCTTCATCTCCGGAGACTTCAAAGCAGCCGTCAGTGCAGCCAATTCCACACTCTGCAGGAGGAACGTCACGGCAGAGGCCACCTCCCTCTTGCTCTCGTTCCCACCAGCACTGAGGGTGGAGCTATTCAGGAAGGAACCAAAGGGGCCAGCGACTTCCTGGGATTGGGAAAGGAAACACCCTGAGAAGGAGGGAGGATTTCAGTGGTTCATGAGTCACATTCTTCAGACTACCAGGGGAACAATGACCCTCTTAGGGACATATGGGTTCATAGTGACTTTCCCCACTCAGAGGGACTGCAGCATTCTCAAAGAGGGAGCCCTTCACAGAGCGAGTGAGGCTACTGAGGCTTGCTCAGGACTCCAGAGTAACCTGAAGCCAGGGGAGGGCTAACGCCCTGTCATTCGCTCCTCATCCCTGGTCCCTTCAGTGTAGGTGCCGGAGAACATTGCAACAAATCAGCAGGCATCTAGGTTCTCTCTGTGTTGCCCCCGGAAGCAATCTGGATCTTCCTAGGACCAGTGGGGACAGAACCCAGATCCCCTGCCACTTAAGCTAGAGAGCATGCACATGCGCACACACACCCCTTTTCTGAAGAGCAGCTACAATTCCCCCCAAAGTGAGACTGCTATTCCAGTGCTCAGGGCATTTGGCCATAGAGCGCCCGCACACATAGGGGCAGAACCTCTGACCTTCAGCGATACTGTTCTGTCCTGGGCATACATGGTCTCCAAATTCACTAAGGTTGAATTCACGAAGGAGCAAAATTCACTGTTGCTGCCCTGCAGAAGAATCAGAGGAAATGGGTTATTTCTGAAAGCATGGAAACGCCACCCAAAATTAAGGTTAATGGTTCTGCAGAGCGATGTTGCTTTGACCTATGGCTGGCTGGGTGTCCCACTGGAATGCTACAGATTATGACACGTTAAGGCTAAGTGTGGTGAAACCCACAGACACGCTGATATTTCACATAGTAATGAATTTCTCCTTCCCATCCTCACAGCGATTTTATAAGTATTATTATCCTCCTTCTACATGTGGGGAACCGATGCACAGAGACACTGAGCAAATGGCCCAAAGTCACACAGTGAGTCTGAGGCAGAGATGGGAATCGAACTCTGACTTCCTGTATCTCTGACTGGTGCCTTAACTGCAGAACTCTGATGTACAGTGGGGGCATCACACACCTAAGCATGATATAGTCTAGTTTTCAGAAGCACCTGGTGTTCCACTAATTCTGCTCCCACTCCAGTCAGTGGTAAACCCTGGATAAGCTGAGAATTCTCAGGCTCAAAGTTTTCTGTGTACTCTTTGTGAAAACCCTCAAAGCCCAAATAAACCCCTTCGATGTACCTGCAGAAAGACATCTTTGCACATCTCCAACTGCTCTTTTATATGTGGAGTCTCAGTCTGGTATTTAAATGTAACATCTAGCAACAGAAAGAGAGGCAGGACAATTACATCAGGTCAACATCTGCAGGGCTAAGATTTTCAAAAGTGTCTCGTGATTTGAGACATCTTAAAAGGGCCCTGACTTTCAAAAGTGCTGAGCACTCACACTGTGAAAATCAGGCCCCTTTAAGGTCTCAAGTTAGACAACCAAAATCACAAGGCAATTTTGAAAATCTTGGCCTAAGTGACACACCTAAGCCCACACACAAACAGGGACTCTAGGACAGAGCTGGGAATGGAAGCTTGATCACTTGAGTCCTAGCCAAGCACTTTAGGCACAAGGGCCATCCTCTCTTCCTACCAGAATACAAAGTTGATGATCTACTGAAACCCAGCAGGTGTTTTCTCCCTTTAACTTCATTGATCCCTTAAGCCCTGTCT